TTTCCTCCACTCCATATAAATTTGCTAACAATTTCTTGCCATTCTTGTAAAGTTTTTTTTTCCTGAAACTGGATTGACACCGTTTGAACAGATAATTTATCCAGGTAATAAATTCATTTTAATGATCACAATTGATCCTAACAAAGGAGGTTTAAATTGCTCCACCTTCCAAAATCGCTCTTAATTTCTTGCCATAATTTGACATAACTGTTTTGATATATTCATGATTATTACTCTCAAATGTAAACCGAGATATTTCACCGAGTATATCATCTGGCAGCCAGATTCTTTCTCCAAGAAATATTTTTCTCTTTGCATTAAGTATCTTGTAATTATTTTTGGGTTTTGGACATTGACTTTATATCCAGAGAACTCTCCAAAGCTATGAACTATTTTCACCAACTTTCTTATTGCCCCTTGTGGTTCAGTGATAATTAATACTACATCATCTGCATAACATTTAAGCTTGAATTCTTCTCCATCGATTTCTTCTAACTTGAATGCAGGTTGAGATGAAAGTCCTCCCTGACTAGATAGCCAACTTTTGAAGTGAGCTTTGGATGTCATTTCAGTAGATGAAAAGAGCCATGGGATATGTTTCTGCTTTACTTGTGTTAAAAGAAAGACTACTGTATATGGGCTGCAAAAATTCAATCACTAGGCAGCAACAAAGACAGAGTTTTCTGTACCACAGAAATGTAGCTCAGATATGGAAATCCTAGTTTAAAATCTTATTTTTATAATTATTGCATATGAATTTTATTTCATTTTTATTTTAAGCACGCCCATGGCTCCCTTTAAAGCCAAGGACACAGAGGTAGTTAAAATTATTCAGAGGAATTATTACCTCAGAGGAAAAGCCAGACAACAACCTCCTTGTTTCCATCCCTAACATAGTGGTTTCCAGCAAAGGGCTGGGGCCATAAAGAGACAATCCCATTTAAGACCAGAACAATAAATAGAGGAATAAAAAGGTAAATAAATATATTACCTTCCATAGTTTTGCCAGTTTCATCACCTATTTAAAATACAGTTTATACAAATAAATGATTTAAAATGTAAAAGGAACAACTTTTATACAAAATTAAGCATCAGACTATGATGTGAAGTGAACCAGCTTGCCTCAACCCAGTTCCATAATCAGGGCCACAAAACTAACCTTTTAAAAAATAATGTGATTGTATTCATCCAAAGTAAAATCCTGTGCAAGTCATGTAAAAATGAACAATATATGCCAGCCTTCTGTAATGTGGTTTTTCTCCAAACAAAGAAGTCTATGACAGGTTTTCTTGACCAGTTCTGCATAATTTCAGCTACCATTGCCCTTCAGAAGTTAAGCTCTTTAGATATATGACACCAAGATCAAAAAGACATTTGCTTCTATAAATCAGGGATCTGGAATTCGTAAACTATGGGACTAATCTGGCCCACTTCCCTCATTAGTGACTATGCCACTGACTTTCACCTGTGCCTCAGCCTTCCCTTGAGGGCTATATAGTGGGCAAGGAGAAACCTGGTGGACACCCATCCTGATAGCAGTGTTGCAGAAACATTGACAATATTAATCCTGCTTTTCCTAGTAGAGAATAAATGTTGTTTAGGATGGAATTGTTGAGTTCTTGGTGTTCTCTGAGCTTGGTTGTTTTCCTGCAGATATTTTACAGACTAGGTGATGAAACATCTACAGGAAAACAACCAAGCTCAAAGTATACCAAGGACCCAACAATAATCCTACCTTACCTGTACTTCATCACTGTCAGCTGGGAAAAATATAAAGTGGTTCTTGTCAGTTTGTGGGTGTAGGTCTTTCCCATTACGGAAAGGAACACTTGAGTGAAATCATCTGAGCAGTTCTTACATCCCTGATCATAGAAAGTGTTGGAAATCAACTAGCTCCTGCCAGTTCTTCTGGTTCACTCTTTCTCCAGTGAAGGAAATGCGGATTAAATGGATCATACTACACAACTTGATGAACAAAATAAATAAAACATTGCCCCCCTTGCCCTTCCACATAAGGAAATGCATAATGTCCAAGAAGGAAGGCTTCAAGGAGAAAGCCTTGCCCCTTGACATCATTCAACTCTTCAATCAATCCAGTTTTTAATCAGATTGTTAATCAGATTTTTACCAGACTGCCGGTACTAAGTAACATATTGTATACTGTATCATATTCACTCAACTGGAATCCAGCCAGATATAGGAAAACTTCTATTGTATGCTAGTTTTAAATAGCAATCATAGCTGATTCTAATGTGATACCTGAAATTTATCCAAATGCTTATACTCATGGGGAAAATTACTGTTCAAACACAACCAAAGATAATTTTAGAAATCAATGCTTACACAATGTGTGATGTTCATCTTCTCCTGTTAGGCAATCCAATTCGTTATTACAGACCTGGCTGTTTGGAATACACACATCTGAGTTACAATGGAAACTGTTCCTCCTGCAGGCTATTGAAAAGAGATAATGGATTATATAATAGGTAAGAGCTCATTAAAAGTTATACCAAGTACTGTATGACAAGTAGATATGTTTGTACAGAAAGGATAAATGTAGAAAAGGAGCAGACCTTTGCAACATAATTCATCACTTAGGTCACCACAGTCATTGATTCCATCACACGTTTTATCTGAATGGATACATTTTCCATTGACACAGCGGAATTCCCTGGAGTTACAGCCTGACAAGTTGGATGAAAAATAATATTTTAGTAAGAAATACCAGTGTGGAAAACGAAATGGCTAAGTCCGATTATCCCAACCTGTTGCCTTCCAAATCTGTTGGAATATAGTATATGTCCCAACACCCCCAGCTATTAACCCCTCTGGAAAGCATCAGTTGAATTTTAGGGAAAAAATTCTGACAGCAAGAGCAGTTTGACTGTGGAATCATCTAATGAGGAAGGGGGTGACTCCTCCTCACTGAGTGTATTCAAGCAAAGGCTGGAGAGAGATCATTCAAGGATACTTCACTTTGGATTCCTGCACAGAGGAGGGGATTGAACTCAAAGGCCTTAGTGCCCTCTTCCAATTATTAGGAAAGGATCAATCACATCCATCCACAAAAAAACCTACCACGGTCAGATCGTTGCAGTGGCTACAGAATGCCGATCGTCTCTTGACAGGAGGATAACAAAATCAAGGCAAGAGACTAGAAGAGGATATGCCTGGCTGGAACACTGAAAATCAGCATTTCACACTATAATATTTTATTGCAAACCTCTGGTCTCTTCTGATTATAATACCAGAAATAGCTAATTATTTATAATACGTATTATACCAACCTCTGTGTTCTGTATGGCATATCACCTTAGCCAACTTCCCACTGGTCAAACTCAATCTACTTAAACCACATTCGGCTAGACTCGTCTCTATCCCTCTGCAAGTTGCTTTAAGGCATTCCAGTGAATTCTGGTCCTCATCTGTTTCAACAGATTCTTTGCTATCAGCTCCTCTGTACAATGCAGCAAAAAATAAAATCAAACAAATACCAATGCACATGACTCGGTGTTCTGAAAATAGATGTATCACTTGTAACTGCCTTTTATTTCTCCAGCTGACAATGTATACATCTATTATTTACCATTATTTATGATTTAAGGCATTTACTTTCCACCCTTTAGCTAAAAGTCCCCAGAGTGGCTTATATAACAAAAAAAGCCAAATGGTAATAATTTGACATTGATATATGGATTTATTAACAAAATTTAGAAATATTTTGGAATTTATCTGGTTATATTTTAAATTATATTTATTTCATCTTTTTGAATGTCTCAAAATGGTTTGTTCTTGAAAATGATATATAGTTAATTTAGAATAATCTTCTATGGGGGGGGGACAATAGGAACAAAAGTATTTTGTTTGCCCAAAAGCAAAATGATCCTGAACTTTAAACAAACCCTGTCCTCAAGGTAGGCAGAAAAAATTATAAGCACAGAGAAAACGCAGGAGGAAGATGGGGACAGGGATGGGGAAGTAAGGTGAGAGGAAGGAATAGTGCCCTGGGAAATGAAAAACAGAGAATGAGAGGAATAAAGCTGGAAAGAGATGGTGTATAAAGAGGTAACTGGAAGGAGAAGGAGAATAAGAATAAGAAATACCTTCTTAGACATTAACAAGAGCAGCAAAATCAGTCTCAGCAGGGATATGTGCTACCTTCCAAGGCAAAAAATGCAGTAGGAATTTTTTTTGTTGTGGAATCCTTGGTGCTCTCTGAGCATGGTTGTTTGCTTGCATATGTTTCATTACCCAACTAGGTACACTGATGATGTTACCTAGTTGGGTAATGAAACATCTTCAAGCAAACAACCATGCTCAGAGAGCACCATGGACTCCACAGTTCAACCCTGAGCTACAGATATCTCTTCTACTGGCATTTTGTTGTTGTTTTAATAGTTCCTTCCATTATCGGTGATAGAAAATCACCTCTCCCTCATCCGTCCACAGTGAATTATTTGAGGAAAAAATTAATCTTCCTATCAAGTAAAATATGTGCTGTCCTCCCTTCTAAAAGTTCACATTCTTCTGAGCTGTAAAGAAGCAGCTACGTGATTGCTGCAAAATATTTATTCATTCAAATCATGTGCTACATATTAATTTAATCACTCATTTTTGCTCTGGTCCCATCTGTTTTTTCCTGGCCATTCCAACTTTTGAGTACTGGCCTCGCTGCACTACAAAAAACTGAATGAGGCTCTTGGCCCCACAAATGTTGCCTATTCTACTTGAAGTGAAAAGACTGAAATGTTATAGGTAGATGATATTGTCAACAGTTTGTGATGGCATGATGATACTTGTAAATCCACACAATGGAGAAAGCTGCTCTAATACATTATCAGTTTTTTTTTAAAGAAGATATTGGAACTTTTACAGGTAGTGCTATTGTTCTTTAAACCTAACAGTTATTTAAACAAAAGGCTCTTTATTCCATTAGAGAATCTTACTCTGCAAAACCAAGATTTCTGCAGACCACATTTGCTTCATTCATGCTTAATCCATTCCCACATACAAATGCTTTCACTGAGTTGTTCAGCTTAACTTGAATAATTCCTTCCGAGCTTGCATTTTTAGGATCCAAGAGAATGTTAAAATGAGCTAGAAAACAAAACAAAGTCTACTAATATTTATGTTTATGCAATTTACAAAAGACAGAGATAAATTTTATTAGCTATAACCTGGCTAATGTATAGAAGTAATGCAGAAATGCTCCAATAAAAGGACTTGTTATGGAAATATCTGTAAACCTATACATTTGCCAAGCAAAACACCACTGGAATATTTTTTTAAACAAATAAGTTCAATAGGACTTTCTTCTAATTGCAAACAGCAGGCAGCCCCCCCTAATCCAATTTTAGCAGCCCACTTCCTGTAATCCTACTCTCTTGTTTCAACTATTTATGAAAGAAAACCAGCCACATAAAAGGGAGGTACAAAGCAATCACTAGAATTTGGCTCCAAATGGAACAGAATTACTCAAAGTACTTATCAATATCAAAATGCTTCTATACTATACTTCAGGCCTAAAGCTTATCTCCTCCCACTAGTAATGACTGATAAAGCAAAAAGGGTCATTTTTTACCTCCAGGGTTACAACTGCCCCTGCTCATAAATTTGCTTAATGTATAGCGACATTCAAAACTTTTTAGCTGACAATAATTTAGGAAGCTCCTCCCATTACTGGAACAAACTTTAGTGCCATTTTTGGGGCACTGGTAAGGTAGTTTACAGAGACAGGTTCCTTCCACGCACTTCTGCCAAGGCTGACAAAAACCTTTCTCACAAGAATGGTCTGTGTAATTGTTCTTCACACATTCCTCTATCAAGTAACTCTCTTGCTAGGAAAAAGAAAATAAATGTTATGAAATTAACTCATTCCCTTAGGGTTTTTAAAGACATACTTCACAGCAAGTTTATTTAACAGCTTAAGTACAGTAAGGGAAGTTTCTCAACCATGATTTAATTAAAATAAAAGCTTACCATTTCTGCAAAAACATGATGTGTCAGGTATAATATAAACAAAAGAACTGATACTTGTTTCATGATGAAGAAAATCTGTGCATGCAGAACAGCTTCTTTATCTCAAATTCTCTCCACCTTAGATACTTGCTTGTGTTTAATTTTTAACTATAAACAAATATTTAAAATATAGTCCTGAAATCAGTGTAAGGCTCTCCGTATTGTGGTAATTCTAGACTCTTTGAAAAGATTATTCTACTCAATTTCACCCTAAGTGCAAGAAAAAGTCATAAAAAGTAAAAGAAAGAAAATCCCTAGTAGGAATGAACTATTTTGTACTTAACCCTCACAAGCCTACTTCAACACTTTCAATTTACTACAAGGATACTTCCGTTATGTGCCTCTTTAGAACAGTCAGAATGGACAAATAATGATTGGTTGCTATTTGTATATTTACCTAACTGTAAGTTGATATCAAAGTTATATTTGGTCAGTTGCTCAAATCTTTGGCAATGGAAAGGTGTGTGAGAGAGGAGAGAGAGAAATGTGTGGATTTTTAAAAAAAGATTTTAAAGATTTTTTTTTTAGATTTTTTTTAAAGACCTCATTAAAGTGGAAGAGTTTCTTCCATAAGTTGGAGATGAGGATATAATGTATAATAGTATTAATAGTACTACAAATGAAATTATGAAACCATGGAATATCAAGCAATTTGTTTAGAGGTTGATTGCAGCAATATGCAGGATTAGCAGTGAGATTCTCACCCCTATCAAAATAAAATTAGCGTAGCACCACTTGTATAAGATTGATGATCACCCTATTAAAACCAGTGTTATAAGCTTAACTTCCTATTTAGGCAGAGTGTGAAAAGGAAGTGAAGAAAAATGCAAGCAAACATGTTTCTCTTCACACAGACACCTGGTTTACTTTAGCTGAAAGAGGGGAAGATTGGCTTTTTGTTGTCTTTAGGTGTTTCAAGAATTTAACTAAGAGTGAATTCCCTGGAAACGCTGCTGTGTACTTAACAAGTCCAAGGTACTGGCCAGGAATTGCTTCAGGATGCTAACACTAATAAAAAAAAACCTTGATATATTTGATGCATATGCAAATATGATAAAATGATACAGCATAACATTCCATTGTCTCAAACTTTTTAATATTAAAGTTGTCTAGCTGTTATTTCCTTCAGTTTTTTATCTATCAAGATGTGTGCGTATTTTGTTTAAGGATTTTGTATTTCAAAACAGAGGAGCAATCCGTCCTAAAGGAACCTGAAACTTTCTAGGCACTTGGTAGAGCCAAAACTGAATAGCTGCAGCTTATTCCCACTATCCATCCTTCCTTCCTTCCTTCCTTCCTTCCTTCCTTCCTTCCTTCCTTCCTTCCTTCCTTCCTTCTTCCGTAACTATTAGACCCCATAGCTTGACCATATCTTGTTCCTGTTGCAGAGTTTACTATTTTGACTAATGAAGGGGGAGGGTTCTTTTTTTTTTTTAAATAACTCTGCTCTATTGGATTTTTGAAGTAAAATATTTTTAAGTCCAAGCTGACTGACAGATTCACTCTCTGGTTCAAAATATACTTCACTGGCAATAAGAGCCTCATGAATATGTACTTGGTTATGAGAAGATAAGCTTGAAATCAGACTAAACACATTGTCTCACTGAACAATTACGCAAGACTGGACAATCCCTACATTCTTCCGGGGTTTCCTGGAAGTATTGTACAAAACATCACAACACAATACTAACAGTAATAGGGATCAGAATAACAGGTTCACCTGCATTCTTTCTTTTATAAATACTTCTGTGTCCACAGAACTGAGTTATATATTTACATTTGTTTCAAATCTAGGGTCTGCACTAAAATCATAATATTCACATTTCTATTTATTCTGCTTTCTTGAACCTATTTCCAAAGAGATAAATAGGTTTTCTATTGCAGCAGAAACAACAGAGAAGCTTATTTTGTTTTCGCTTGTTGTTGTTGTTGTTTCTTTGTTTTTAACTGTTTTAACAATTTGTAAACCACCCAGAGTTGCTGGAAGTCGGGCAGCATATAAATTTAATAAATAATAATAATAATTCTGTCATGATAATCAATAATAGAATCTTAACATTGTTATTATTTATTTATTTATTTATTTATATTTATTGGCCACCCAACTCCAGTGAACTTTGGGTGGCGCACAAAACCAAAAAAGACATAAAAACAGCTAAAGATATTAAATCAACAGGCAGCCTGGATTAAAATGCTCTAATAACAACATCCACAAAACAAAATGGGGCCATTAAAGAAATAATAAGCCCCAACCGCAGACCTGGGACCAAAGCCAGGTTTTCAAAGCTCTCTGGAACCTCAAAAGAGAAGGTGCCTTCGTCATCTCTGGGGGGATACTGTTCCAGAAGGTGAGGGGTGCATTTCTTGTGGACTGAAACCCACTTCAGTAAATGCATGGAATATTATGCCAAAAAAGGAGGATATTCACATTGATGATGATGATGACTTCCCAATGCCAGGCAGGCAGCAATCAATGGTCTTGGTCTGGGCACTTTAGCCTATTAATGCTAGAGAGGTATATTCAGTGTCCACCAGGATTCTGTCAGAGAGTTATGTAATGGATAACTTACCCACCCCACTCTCTACTTCTAACTCTTTTTCTTTGAGACTTGACTAGGCAGGCTTTATAATTAAGTATAATCCTTAGAGAAAGTGTACAAATTCCTTGCTAGATAAAAAAAAAAAAGAGGAGGAGGAGGAGGAGGAGGAGGAGAAGAAAGAAAGAAAGAAAGAAAGAAAGAAAGAAAGAAAGAAAGAAAGAAAGAAAGAAAG